AGAGCCTTAGTCTTCTCTATGGGATGGTGTGGTGCTTGGAATAAATTTGGCCCCCACAGACTTGAGTTTGAATATGCTTGGCCCACAGGGAGTGACACTAGTAGAAGGTATGGCCTTGTTGGAGGAAATGTGCTACTGTTGAGGCAGACTTTGAGGTCCTATGCTCAAGCTTCACTCAGTATGGAAGGGAGTCCCCTATTGGCTGCCTGCTGAAGATAATCTCTTTCTGCCTGCCTTTTGATCAAGATGTAGAACTTCCAGCTACTTCTCCAGATCCATGCCTGCCTGGATGCTGCCATGCTTCCTGCCATAATGATAATAGACTGAACTTCTGAAACTGTAAGCCAGCCCCAATTAACTGCCCTTATAAGAGTTATCTTGGTCATGGTGTCTGTCCACAGCAATAAAACCCTAAGACAGATGGTGTTGTATTTTCACTTCTTTTGTGGCATGACACTATCCAAGAAGCCCAGTTCCTCAATTATCTGTGTAACTACCGGTCCCTGTCCTGAGGAACATCCTCTAAGCAGTCTCCTCCAACAGTCTAGGCAACTCCTCCTGGTATAGATGGCATCATTCATCTACAGTTCAGTGTTGCCAGTTACCATGGATTTATTGGTACTTACTTGTTAATGTCTAAATCCCCAATACATCCCACTGCTAGATTCATTGAGACCAGAGAGTCACTGGGGAAACAAAGGCAGAAATCAGCCCTTTTGGAGCTGCAAGGCTCAGAGGCAGCTGGGAAGCAAGATTTGTGCCCTTGTTAAAGTGAAATCCCAAGTGAAAGGGATACTGAGAGAAATACGCATGGGTTTGTGGAACTGTGATGGGAATGAGGAGGCATGGAGGATGACCAGAAGGCTAGGGAGAATCAGCAAAGCTGTTCACATGGGGACACATGTCCTGAGGGTTGGAGGATAGTTATGGCCAGTTAGGCAAAATTAAGAAGTGACACCTGAGGGCAAAGGAATAGGGGTATGAAGGTATAACAGTGGAAAACAGAAGAAAGCAAAGCAAAACATGTCTTATTCAGAAACTATAGTGGAGTCTAAATGTTGTCCTAAACTTTGTCTCTGCAGTGATTGTGCATACTCTGCTCCTTAGCATAGTTGTTTCAAGGACAGAATTTAGGGCAGGATTCGAGAACACTTGTCTAGCATGGCCAAAAGAAAAGAAAAAGTCACCTCTATGGATATTTGTTTTCAATGCATTTATTTATTTTGCTTCACACTGGGTCTTGATGCTAAGACCTCTCGAGTACTGCATCCCTCAACTATACTCAAGGCCTTTCTGAAAGATTTTACACTGATGACCAGCAAGGTCCCATGAGCTCTGTTACAAGGTTATTCAATGTCTGTGATGAGGGCGGAGTAGAGGAAAGTGCCTGTAGAGGCAGAGAAATCCATGAGAGAAAAATAAAAGATGAAGATTACAATTAAGAGGGGGTGGTGGTGGTGCGTGAGTCACAGGAGGGAAGTGAGTCTGGAGAGTTCTAATGTCAAGAATGGGCTAAGCTAGATTGTTGTGCAGTAGAGAGAAAGTTCAGCTTTTGGTGTAGTATTGACCTCGAAGTGTGGAGGAAACACCAAGAGTGGAGGCTTGGAGCTGAGGGTGTAGCTCAGTTGGTCGAATGCTCACCAAGCACACAGAGAGTCCTGGTTTGATTCCCAGTGCCACATAGAGAAGCTTTGGTGGCTCACAATTGTAAGCCCAGCTCCCAGGTGGTGAAGGTCGGAGGATCAGAAGTTCAAGGTCATCCTTGGTTACACAGTAAGTTAAAGGTCAGATTAGGGTACGTGAGACTCTGTCTCAAGAGAAGTGGTTGGGAGATGATTAAGATGTTAAATCTCCTGCAATATGAGTTTGAGGACTGCAGTGTGGATCCCCTAAACTCATGTAAATGCTGGGTGAGTATAGCAGCTTGTTCAAAATTCTGGCCTCTGAAAGTAGAGACAGGGATTGCCCAGAGCAGGCTGGCTAGAGACCAGCCATATCAGACTACTCTGGGTGACTGAGAGATACTGAATCATTAAACGAGCCAGAAGAGTGACCTAGCATGGTTCTCAGCATTAACCTCTGGCCTGTACAGGTGCTTACACTCATTGACATGCGCATCTGTATATGTGTGTTCCCATTTGTAAATATACATATGAACACTACCTACAGCCCTCATGCAAGAAAGGAAGGAAGAAAAGGAAGGAAGGAAGGAAGGAAGGAAGGAAGGAAGGAAGGAAGGAAAGAAGGAAGGGAGGACAAAGACGAAAGGGCCAACAGATCACTAAATGTTGGGATCCTGAGCTAAGACTGGGATGGAGGTGGCCTTTGGGGACTCATCTCTGCACAGCTTAAAGCCATGGGTAAGATTTCCCAGGCAAAGTCTATCAAAGGCAAAGATTAGAAGAACCGATGCTGTAACTCCAGGCACCTCAAAGTGATGTAAGCAAGAGGATGGGAAGGAGACAGGACTAGAGTCACACCAGGGGAGATGAGTGTTCTAGAAACCAGAGAGAAAGAAGCCAATGTTCAAGTGCTTACAAGTCAGATCAAGCAACGGCAGGAAGTTCCTAGGCATGGGCATCTTGGTTCTCTGAATTGATGGCTACCACCACTCTATGAAGTAGTGGAGTCAGAACTCACACTGCAGCTACAAGGGAAAGCAGAGAAAACAGAGAACAAAAGGACATGGGATTGGAAGTGTGGAAATGGTGTGGGAATGAAGGGCATTAACTGAGGGAAGAGTACAGAGGGAGAGATACTAGCACAGTGCCTGGTCTATAAAAGGCACTTGGAAACATTTGTCAAATAATATTTGAAGTGCTGAATTGCTAAACAGGTGACTAATGTAAAGATGCCAGGGAAGACTTCTTGGGTTCTAAAGTGTTTGATTAGCCATTTATCTTCACAACAGCTGACACAGAAGATCAACCAAAGGATGGAGAGAGGCAGAACCTGAAGGATGTATATATGTACACTCATGAAGCAAGCAACGGAATAGAGATATGGTATGTCTCCTGGGTGGTCAACTGGGACGCGTGTTTCAGAACAAAGATTGGCTTCCAAGCTGGGGAGAGAACACCAGAGGACACAGTTAGAATATGGACATTCACAACAGCAGGTGCAGGACACACAGGATGACAAACTGACAAACGTGGTGACACGCTCTATTGTAATGTAAGGTTTCAGTGTTATACTTTCATGGACTAATCTAATTATGATCCAAAACAATCCAAGGGTGATTATTTGGGCTAAGTATAACCTCTAAGTGCCTCTACTACCCTGTCACTGCCCTCTCTGAAACCACAGAGCTTTCCTCTCTTAAACCACACAAGAAACCAAGAAAGTGGAGTACGTTCAAAGTACCATCATTTGTTTTACATAATTTAGTGTGTGTGTGTGTGTGTGTGTGTGAGAGAGAGAGAGAGAGAGAGAGAGAGAGAGAGAGAGAGAGAGAGAGAATAATATGTGCATGTGCAGGACAACTTGGGGGAATCAGTTCTCTTCTTCCGATTTGTAGGTCACAGGAATGGAGCAGGAATGGACCCTCGAGCTCTCTGTAGCAAGCTCCTTTACCTACCTAACAGTCCCACGTGGTTCTAGAGGGTTCTGGAGTAGTGCCGATTCGCAAATTGTTAGCAGGAAATAGTTAAAAGAAGTCCAGATGATTTCTGCTGACTGTGAAAATATCTACTCCACTGCACCCCACCCCCATACACAAAGAGTCGCTGTGAGAAAAAAGCCTTTTGCAGCTTGCGCTGTGAATACCATGACCTAGTTGTTAGGCCTTTTCAGTGCCTGTGTTTGTCTAGCTTTCCTCTCTTGGTTCTTGTTTCTCTTTTACCTTATGCTTGGGCTTATTTTCTTGTTAAATGACATATTCAATACGAATCGCACCTGAGGTATGGAGGGGCGTGGCGTTGTAATGGCTGACTGTGTCCTCCCTTCCCCTTTCTTGTCTCCTTCTCTTCCTGCCGCTGTCTATGGTGCCTTTGTGAAGCCCAGCAACGCGCCTCCACTGTCAGAAACTTGCAATGATGGTCAGCTACTTAGCTTTCCTTTACAGCTTTTCACTTCTGGGCCAGCCGCTACTTGGGGGGACCTAACTGTGTAACTGATAAAGCTGAGATTTCAAGTAGCAAAATTTAACGCCCCCTTTGCCAGGCATCCCAGGTGCTCTTCCTTTGCAAGGCATCCCGGCTGCTCTTCCTTTGAAAGGCATACACTCACACATCACAGCTGTGACACTGATCTTTTTTAAAAACCACGACCTTTGAGTCTGACCCAGCACAGACGGAAGCCCAAGAATGGCGGTGTGTGTGTGAGTGTGTGTGTGTGTGTGTGTGTGTGTATCTGAGAGACAGAGAAGAGCTTTTGACAAGGGCAAGAGGTGGTAGACCAGGGAGGATCAAAGGGCCAGACTTCACAAGCGACTCCAGACCTGCCAGGAATCCTCCCGCACACCCAGTGCCCTTTGGCTTCAGTGTTTTGTACCTGTAAACTACATATGACAGTCATCGGGTCCTTTTCCTATTATATTACAAGCCAGCCAGGTGTGTGCACGCGTGTTCCCACCCCTCCCTGACCAAGTGCAAATGAGACTGTTAATTCTGACCTTGCATCTCAGCTCTGCAGCTAAAGCCCCACTTCTCTGAGACCCTCTGGGTGAGCCGCTCCGAGCCAGAGACGACAGACCCCTGTCTTTACAGTAGAGGGGCTGCGCCTGGGGGCGGAGCAGTCGGGGCAGGTTCTAGGGCACCGAGGGTGGCAAGCTCGGAGCCCGGTGGCTGTCGCTGGCGGGAGCGAGAGCTGGCTGTAGGCGGCTCCTTCCTGTGCAAACTTTTCTGTGCTCTTCCTCCTCCCGCGCTGCGCCCCGCTGCTTGCGGCCGCCTCCCCGCCCTGCCAGCCGGCCGGGGGCTCCACGAGGGGCCGCAGCGGACAGCGCAGCCCTTTGGGCCGGCTCCACCCTGACTAAGCTCGCTCCCTCCTGGCGCCTAGAGCGGATGGCGGAAGCCGGCAAGAGCCCTGTGATGTCCCCGGACCAGCCAGCAGGCCAGGAGGTGGTCGCGGCAGAGGTTCTGGACCCCGAGCCCGAGGCTCCCGGGCCACCTCTGCCTGCCCTGCGCTGGCTTCCCGGGGATCCAAGTCCCCGTGGCCGCTCCCAGAGCGACCTGTCGTCGGCCTCGAGCCGGGGCCGCCCGCTCAGAGTTCACATCTCCGGCTCAGGTAAGGGTGGCTCTTGATGGTCCGGGGTGGCCCAGGGAGGGCTAGCCACGGGCAGGTGAGGGTCGCGGTGTGGCTATCTTCCCTGGATGTCCCGGGGCAGCCATGGGGGGTGAGGGGCGAGAGCAAGGGCGAAAGCCGTCGTCCCCACATCGCCTCCTCCTGCTGAGCTGCAGAGGCTTGGTGTCCCTCGGTTGAGCAGCTGGCGACCGGTGGGTGCGCCCAAGTGGGTGCTCCTCTCTTCTGCGCCGGTGCAGCGCGGCGCGATTTCCGCGGGTTCCCCAGGACTCCCGCTTGGTTGTGCAGCGCCAGGCGGCACTGGTGTTGGCTTTGGTTCTTGGGCTAATTTGGTTCTTGGGCTAATCGGTCTTCAACACACTGTGGTCCCTATGAAGGGTGTGGTCCTCTCACTTGAGAGGTTAGCACAGGGCTTGGAAGGTAATCCTACTCACCTCTGCTTCTGAAATAGAGATTTCTTGGCAGGGGTTGCTGGTAACCGGATAGGGGATTCCAGTTTCCCTGACTGTGAAAAACCCATAGAGGTGTTAATGAGAACTTGGCCTGGCTCTGTGTGTATCTGCTGTACTGTTCTTTGGAAAGCCTGGAGCCAGTATTGCTGCTGTAGAGACAAGCCTCTGCCCTGTGTCCTCTAAGTTCAGGCAAAAACTAGGAACTTCATGGAGGCCCGATGCTGCCCAGGCTGCGCTGTGGGATGGAGGACTAATCGCTGATCTTTGTCTTTCATATCTCAGTGGTCAATGTGAAACGATGGTATGGCATATCTAGCGATGATATTATTGTCATTATTTAAGATATCCTAAGAACTGGAGAACTTTGGTCTTTTAGTTCAACAGTTTTCAAGGGCAGTTTTTTTTTGTTTGTTTTGTGTTTTTAAATGTTCAATCTGTGAGGGTTGCGTGGGAATTAGACAAGGATGGGGGATGTGAGAATGATCAGTTTCAGGAAAAATGCTTGCTGATGCGACGTGCACACCCCCACGTTCCCCTGCTGCGCCTTTTCCCACGCTCTGGAGTCTGGGGTCATGCTTTCCTTGATGATTTTTCTCCGTTTCTTTATTTGTGCATGCGCACATGCAGGCACACCTCAGAGTGCATGAAGAAGTCAGGGGCCTTGATGATCAAATCCAAATCCTGCCGCAGGCTTGGTGTCCAGTGCCTTTACCCACTAAGCCTCCTTCCCAAACCCTTCTATGATCTTGAACGCAACCTCATTTAACCAAAGCCAAGTTCTTGCTTGAAAAAAGCACATTTCAGTGCTCCTATCTCTACTTCAGCCACCTAATTCTGTTACTGTATGGTCTTTGTTACCCAATGTGTTTAGGAAGCATCAGTGGTGTGTCTGATCTGGTTTTGGAGATCACCAACTTCAAGTTGTGAGATGTCCACTGCAAGGAGTTACTTTGTGACAAGTGTTGGGTGGAAAAGCGGTTTGCCTTCTGCTTTGGGGCCAAACAGAATTGGAGCTGTAGGTGATTTTGATTGACTTTTTGAAAGATTAAAAGATTAATCATTCCGATGACCCAAAGAGACAAGTGAATATTAGATTAGCTGGTGACAGTAGATAAACAAGCATGACTGTCTCACGTTTTCGCTTTTAAGGATGGGAATTGAAGCTGCATGCTGGCGATAGCAGGGAGAGCCCTTCAAGTGTGCATGTGTGCGCATGTACCATCCCACAGTGACAGGAGCAGCTATTTCTCTCCAGGGAATCTAGTTTCCCTGTGTTGATGTAATGGATAATAGGAAGTGGCAGCTTTCGAGTCCCTTGTCCCCTGCATCACAGAATGTTGGTGCTCAGGTAGGACAGTGAACTTCTTCCAGTGAACTTCCTGTATCTCACTTTCAGAACTAAGCTTTGGGTCTCTAAAAGCAGGCTGGATATAAGCATGAACTCACCTTTCTCTGAATCAGGAAGACAACCAATGAATCCCTTCCTAATGCTTTTCCCATGACAGCCAGAGCCTCAAAGCAGGCTGGCATGTCCAAGTTGTCTTAGGAGCACAATAAAACGGTTAATCTCTTTATGACAACAGTCTTTGGCCTGATGCTGAAGCAGACCCAACTTCCTGACCCTTATGAGAAACTCTGGGCAGAGGCAGTATCTACAGCTGGGTCCTATGATTTCCAGAATCAGTCTCTGGACCAGCAGTACCGGCTTCTTTTAATCTCCCTCTCTCCCGGTCACACCTACTTGATCTGAATCTGCATGCCGAAAGATTGAAAGATTTCCCAGGCTCCTTTCTTTCTTTCAAGTTTATACTCTAAGAAGTCTTTCTTTCAGACACCAAGTTTCAGTCTTAGCGATACATAGAATCACTTGGGGAAATTGAGAACAACAAGCAAACAGTTTCTGGATGGGTCCATCTCAGGGATTCTGCTCTTGATTGGCATCAGGTACAGCCTGGGCATCAGGTAACCGTAAGGCTTAGCCAAACTGGAAACCTGCCATTCCTTTTGCCATGCAATATTGGAACACTGTAACCAGAGTTGGCCTAGGGCAAGAGAAGCTGGAAGCATACGTGCCTGCTCCCCTCTCTCCCCTGCTGCCACACCCTCCCAAGTATCTTTCCTTGCTTCCAGTCTTGATTCCACTATTTGTCAAAGAGTTCTTCCTGTGGGATCACTTAAAGTAATGAGTTATTTCCCTGGTGTTAGCCCTCTATGTTGGATGAACATCAATCAAGAAGGGAAATCATCTTTGGCAAAGCCATAGAGGAGAGAAGAAATGCAAAGAAAGATTTCCTTCTTGGGTTATGACAATAACCACTCCAAGACAAAGGACCACACTCTCATGTCTTCAACTATCATCCCGTCTCCTTCCCTAGCTTTCCGTCCTTGAAATTCAGCCCCCAAATTGCTAACTGCTGCATTTTGAGCCATCACTGCCAATCATTCTTAGAGGCCTTCTCAGGGCCAGCAGTGTATGGAGACATCCAGAGAGCCCTTGCTTCCATGGTTGTCCTGGGTTTTTGCCAAATTTTCTAAATGAAAATATCTCATAGTTTAAGGGATTTTATTTACTTTTGGATTTGTGAGCTAATTTTTCTACATAAAAATGCATGCAGCTTGTCAGCAAAAACTATTGCTTCTTAATTTAAAATCTATACAAAATGGGCAAAGGCCCAAATAATTTTGAATAAATAGACTTTGAAAATCAAGCTAGGCTTGCTTTTGAATCATAAGAGCCCAGATTGAGTTTTTTGTCTTTTTTTTTTTTAAACGTACAGGTCTCTGGAGTTAACCAAAGCTCTGGATTTCTAAAATCTAATGTTCTTGTAAATAAGAACAATGGTCAAAAGTGGAATCTTGAAATGAAGTTCTCATCGTATACACTCAAGGTTTCTCTTAACTTTTACAATAGTCTTGCTGGTCTCGTTCCTTACTCAGAGATTTACTGGAGTGGCTGCTTCTCCGTGTGCTTTTCTCCCAGGACTGTTCAGTAAGCAGAGGCTGCCAGGATACTGTGCAGGTTGTACTCCTGTTGTTAGCATCCAGCAAGTGTTGGTTCAGCTGTGAGAGGGACAGACACTGTTTTTGGACCCATGACTCAATCTCATCCAATGCAAGATGATGGTCTCTGGGCTGGCGATGCCTTCGGTCAGCAACCACGGGCATCTGCTAACTTTACATTTGGGTAATTGAGAGTGGAGGGGTTTGTGCTTGTTAGTTTTTACCAAGCAGTGGCCATCTGGTCTGAAGCTTACTTTCAGTTTTTGTCTGGTCATACAACAGCAAAGCTATCTGGATGTCAAACATGCCAATCTGGACAGCGTAAAAGGAGGTCAAGTGCAACAGGTACCAGAACATTCTAAACCAGCTCTGGTTGTGTTCTTGTCAGTCTGGGCACCTGGTGTAGACAGGTGTGCCTATCCCATCCCCACCTTTAAATGCCTTTATCTTTGCAGCTAGGCCAGAAAACTATTGTCCAGACAGAAGGTGTGCCTTCTATCTTGGCATGTTTTAAAGACATGCTTCATCTGTGAATATACCTGGCCTGAGTCCAAAACAAGAAAGTTGTCAAGAATATAGGCAACTGGTTCCTCTTCTCTGTCACTTTCTTAAGGCTGACCTGACCTCATCGGCCACAGCTTCTGCTTGACTCACTGATGGCAGGCTTTCTTCCTCTCTAGTTTGAGGCCTTTCCCCGCCCTCTCGTGAGTTCCCTCAGTCAGTTATAACACCCAGCACAGGCACAAGACCCACCCCTGGGACACCCAGACCCTTCCTTTTGTGAGCTCTTGAGTCTGTGGTTGCCTGGGGAAGGATTCTTTGTTTAAATTCTTAAGAAAGAACCTACTGTGTGAAGCGTCCTCTTACAGCAGGCTGTAAATAATAGGTCATAGGGAAGCCTGTGGATTGGCTTCCCTTGTGAGCCCATACAATTCCAAGCTGGTTTCAGCTGGTTTCAGCTGGTTTCAGAGGGTCTAGGATCCACTGTGGCAATGGGTCCATTTAACTGGAACTGAACATCAATGTTGTCCACCCATTCATTCGTTCTTTTGTTGAAGTAGTATTTCTTGATGCCACTATGCGCTAGGCACGATTCTAGACCCAGGGCATACGGAAGCAAGCAAATATGATTCTACACTCTTAGATGCAAGGCTAAAAGCACAAAAGCTTGATCACGGGTCCCTTAGGGATGTCTCTGCTGCCTCTGTCTTTGGCCCTCTAGCTTCAGAAAGGGCATGACAGCCAGAGACAGTGTTTCTCCATGGATCAAAGATGTATCATGCAGTATGGGCAGTATATTAACTTGTGATAATATAGTCACTTATAAACTAGCTGCTAGAGTCTAGCTCAGCACTCCTCTATTGTGGCTCGGAGACTGGTGTGAAGCTGGGCATTTATTCTGGGCCCTATGTGCTGCAAGAGGCGCTTTGGGCATGGGCCCATACCTTGATGTTTCATGTAATTCATTCAGTTAGGTCAAAGCTAGTGGGCCATAGACAGAGGCAACAAAGACACCCCTAAGGGACCGGTGAT